CAGAACCTAAGTTGGTCCAACTAGCACGGTCCGAACAGGGACCTACCCTTCCTGCTTGATCTGGGGCTCTGTTGTAGGTACTGCTGCACGTGCTCTAGGCTGAGCTTTGCCTCAGCCTCAGACTTGGCCCCTACCCCTGATAGTGGCTGCAACCTGGGGCTCCAGCTCCTGCCTAGCTGTGAATGTTGTGCGTGTCCTCACCATCTGCAAGGGAACAAGAATAGAATAGTTCAAACTTCAATGATAGAACAAAATCGCATGATAGAGAAGGAAATAAGTGAAATTTTCTTTAATCCCTATAAACCCTAGAAGATAAGTACAGACGTCTCCGTACCGATCCTCTAGACTCTACTAAGCATGCTCATGACTCGTGAGACCTAGACAACCTAGTACTCTGATACCAACTTATCAGGAACCAAAATCCCCACCGTGGGGTCGTGATGGCGCCTAACATCCCCTTGCTAAGCAAGCTAACATTAGCAAATTATTTAACAATTTTTCAAGCAGAACTTTAATAATATGAAACTAAAATAAACTGAATTAGATGTGATAGATACAACCGTATCGCGTCTAAATATATTTAAAAAATCTGGAGTCACGAATACATGATCATACTAGAGTTCTACAAATAAAGTCAAATGAAATACAATCGTTTAAAATAAGGTAAACGATAAAGACAAAATAGAAGGGGACTTCAGGCACTGTGAACGCCATCAGCTCTACCTCAAGTCTCCTGCTGTAAGTCGATCCGGGCAAGAACTCCTCCACATGTCGCTGATACTAACACTAGTATCTGCACAAGAAGTACAAAAGTGTGGCATGAGTACAACCGACCCCATGTACTCTGTAAGTACCGAGCCTAACCTAGAAAAAATAGCAGTGAGGCTATGACAAGACACTTACAAAAAACCTATATGAATAATAATAACGGAATACAGAAATATAGATAAAACGAAAAACTCATATAAACGGACCCGAAGGTCAACTACCAGAGAGTCCCAGAATAACATAATCTCAAAACTTATATCACAATACCGAGAATAAACTCTACAGCCACAAACAACTACAACACATCAAATCTGTTGCGGTGTGCAACTTGATCCCAACACTCAACATAATATCTATTGCAACGTGCAACCCCATCCCAATATCATATCATATCATTTTATATTACGGCATGCAACACGATCCCCTAATATTAATTCATTTCAATACCATTACGGTGTGCAACCGGTTCCCCCAATATTAATTTATTATCATAAATAACTCAACACCACGATTTACAAAAAATCAACACAAAAGAGAAATGAAATGTGCAAAACAAAAAGGAACTACCACTACAAATGGAGAATAGCCAATACTTCGTAATCCCAAACCTTGGCAAAATATTAATACTAAAATAGCTAAATGGCTCACATAAACGAAATGACGTAATAGAGTGCTTCAAGTAAAATAAGGATAATAAAAGCAAGTAAAACATGAGACAGAAAAATTATACAATTAATGCAATTAAAAGCATGTAGCAGGCAAGCAGGTATTGGGTGAGAAATGTACAAATCGAAATAAGTAACAAGTAAATAACAAATAACAAGTAAAACATGGATAACAAGTAAGAACATGTAGCAACTAAAGATTGTAACAAGAGATAATATGGAATAAATAAAGACACGGAAGTAAATAGCCTAACCCCGCATGCTTTAACCCCATGACATCGCATATACACTCATCACCTCGCATATACGTCATTTTCTCTCATAATTCTCATAACAAACAACCAATAAATTCTAATTTCCTCAAGTCAAAGTTAGACACGACACTTACCTCACTCCACAACCAAATCAACCAACCAACCACTATCTTGCCTTTCGAACAAACCTCCAAACCAATCAAATCTAGTCAATTATCGTTCAAACAATTCAAAATAGGCTTTAGAAACTACCAATTAATGAAAAGATTCAATATTTGAAGAAATTGAAAAAGTCAACAAAAGTCAATCCCGACCCGCTTGGTTAAAATCCGAGATTTGGACCACAATTACCCATTCACCCCTGAGCCCTTTTATGTGATTTATTTGAAATTCGATCTCAATTTGAGGTCTAAAACTCAATTTTGTAAAATTCCTAAATTCTACCAAAATCCCTAATTTTTACCATGAAAATCTTAGATTTGATGTTAAAACTCTTAAAAAGTAATGGGAAATTGAAAGAAAGTGGATTAGAGTTGCTTACCTATGAATTTGGGAAGAAAAAGTTCTTCAAAAATTGCTTCTAAAGTGTTTAGGGTAGAGAAATGGTGTAAAATGAGCTAAGTCCTATTTCCCCTCTTTTTACCAAGCTGCAGGTATTGTAATTGCGAACACCGCAAGTGCGAAGCATGGATCACAAATGCGATCAATGTGTCAGCTGACCAGATTTCACAAATGCGACAAATTGTTTGCAAATGCGAAGGTACCTTCATCGCAAATGTGCCTAAAAGTTTTGCAAATGTGATGTTGACCTATGTTGCAGCGATCGCAAATGCGACCAAGATGTTCGTAAAAACGGCCTCTGACAGCTTGCAAAAATGAACCTTTTCCTCCCAAATGCGAGGTCACCCAGCCCAGGCCCCTGCTCGCAAATGCAAGCCAGACCTCGCAATTGTGAGATCTGCAACAGACACCAGAAACAGGAGATGCACCAGCAGTTCTCAAACCATCAAAACTCATCTGTAACACATCCGAAATTTACCCGAGCCACTCGGGCTCCAAACCAAACATGCACACAAGTTTAATAACATCATATAAACTTTCTCGCTACCTCAAGTCATCAAAATAATATCAAATAACAAGAATCGATCATCAAAACTCATGATTTTCAACTTGAAAACTCATTTTCACAAAATGTGCTGAAATGCGCGCGGGTCACCATGGACCCCAACCAAAATTACCGGAATAGCCAAAATACCGATCTGAGGTGGTTTATCAAGAATATTGATCGCGGTCAACTCAAGTCCCATTTTAAGCCAAAAATTACTTTTTCTTCAAATTTTACGTAAAAGTTTTCCGGAAAACGACACAGACCACACTCACAAATACAGAAATATTAAATGAAGCTAGTAAAGGTCTTGGAACACAGAAACAAAAGCTAGTACTCAAAACGACCTATCAGTTCGTCACAACATTCAAGGAATAAAACAAGATTTTTTGGCCCCAATTCCCCCTCCCCCCCCCNGATAAAATATGGTTATTTAATAATAATGAAGGGCAAGATGAGAGAAAAAAGCAAGGTAATAGCGCCACCACACCAAATCCGTCCTTTCATAAATTGACACTTTTTCTCATTACGTAATGACAGATTTAACGATACGATACAATAAAATTTAAGTAATAATCAAAACAAACATTGTATTTAAATTAATAATACGATACAATATAATGAGTAACAACCATCCAAACAAGCTGTAAAAACTAATTTAACCGGCTTAAAAGTCAATCCAAACGCCCTCTTTGTTTTCATCAAGCTCAGCAAAAGCAAGTGAGTTTTGAAGTACATTCAAGGCATAAAACAAGATTTTGGGCTCCAATTGCAGAAAAAAAAAATTATTTTTTGACACATTTGCAATCTTGAAATTTTCTTCAATTGAGATAATTTTTAAACTTTATCAATGAAAATTTTGACTAACTAATCATAGAAGGTATGGAATTTCTTGTTTTTCTAGTATTTTTTCAAAAAATTTAAAACTATTTTTTTATATTTCAATTGTAAAATTAGACCACTTCTACTATGCTAATTAATCTAATAGAAATAAAAATATTAAATGAATTTAAAAAAGAGGATTAAAATTTTGGAAAAGGATCAATATTACCCTTCAACTATGCTTTAATTCTAATTAGACAAATTTTAGAGCTTACGATTCAATCATCAGCAAATATGGGTAGAAATGATCTAATATTAACACTCTGTTTGGATCATTATTCCTCATCATTTTATAATGTATTGTATTGTATTATATCGTATTGTATCGTATCGTTTTATAAATACAATGTTTGGATAGATTGTATTGTTTGTTATTGTTAAATAATAGTTTGCTGTTTGGTTTGATTGTATCGTACTGTATTATAACTGATAAATTGACTAAGATACCCTCCATTGTTTAAATATTAAATTTATTAAAAATTATGCATAAAAATAATTTTAAAAAATAAAACAGAAGAAGACAAAATACCTTAAGAAAACAGAACAAAGCGTGAGGCTGAAGAAGGCAAAACAAAGAAGCACAACTAATTATGATTGAGTTAAAAACAAATTAGGAGAAAAAATAAAAGAGAAGACGGCAAAATACTTTTAACGTTGGTGGCAGAAGTTCTTGAAAAAAATAAAATAGAATATAGGTTGGAGATTTGGAGTTAAAATAGAAAAAAGGTAACCGGTAAAATAGAATTGTGAAGTAATAAGTTAGAGCATATCTGAAAAGAAAAATAGGAAACAATCCCACCACACTAAACCGGTTGTTTAAAAGAAGGGGACTTTTTATTATTCTGAATTAATATATTTAATAATATAATACAATTAATTTTAATAAAATAATTAAAATAAATTTATTTTGGGATAATAATATAATACGATAGAACGTGAACAACCGTCCAAACAAGCTGTAAGACGGCAAGGATATTTTTATACCAAAATTTTGATAAAATTAGTTTATTTTCGATAGTTGAAAGGTAAATAGTCTCGACTTGCTAAAAGAAGACCTGTTTGCCCCCAAGAAGAAGCACATAGCCGGAAATTCCACCAAAACTCACGTGGACGGCTTTTTAGAAAGAAAAAAAAGGATAAACTTTCTAACTTTGAATTCTAACTTTCCACTAAACTCCCTTCTAGACGCTATAAAGTCCATATTTCCAACAATATCCCTTATCCTCCCTACTATTCAAGTTAGGAAGTCCAAATCAGCTTCACAAACAATAGGGCTAAAACTGTCATTTAAATACAGACTATTTAATCCTCTTTTCTACGCTCTAACTTTCAACAATGTCCAATTTACAACTCCCCCTCTTTCTTCTTCTTCGTCGTCGTCGTCCTCCTCCTCCCTTCTTTGACATTGACCCTGTCTGTCTCTTTCACACGCTCACACACTCACTGCGTGTATATATACCATACATATATATTATACACACAGTAGGAATTTTTGTCTGCTTGGAATTTTCCGCCATTTTCCTTTGATCCACTGTTTTCTTTCCAACTATATATATATGTGTACATTTTTTCTCAACAATTTCAAATACCAAATTTGTCACCACCCAATTGACTTCAAATAGCGTCTAAAAAAAAGTTTCAGTAAAGCAGATGATTGTGGAGGCGGCGTTGGAGGTATTAGTGCCGTCGTGGTGGGAGGTGAAAGTCACCGTCGCCGCCACGGCATTCCTCATATTTTCTTACTGGTGCTTTGCACTCGGCGGCGGCTCTGCCTGCGGTGATGATCGCGTTTCCGCCGATGATTCCGGTGGTGCCGTTGAGGATAAACAAAAGGTTTTTTAGACTTTTTTTTTGCGTGCCTATTTTGAATTTATGTTATCTGATGGTTTTTTTGTGATTTTGGAATTGTTGTAGAAATGCATATGGACAGAATTTTAAGTAATTGCTTGTTGTTAACGATTTTAATTTTAGTGATAAAGGTTGTAAGGTATTGATGATTTATTCACGGGATAAGTAGGGCATCGGACCCTGCAGCTGAAAAAAGCCTAGTATTTAAGTGGAAAATGATAAAGGAATGGGCCTATTATGACTTTGATCTGTGAGCCACTGACCCTCGGGGATTTCTCAGTTATAATTCTTTTTATTGGGCACTGATGACGGGATTTTGGGGGTAATTTAGCAGTATTTTACAAGTTATTTAAGTGGGAAGAGTTGTCTTTTTTGGAATTAGTGATAGAAAGTGACTTTGTTATTGCGTAATAGCAATTAGATAGAAAAGTTGAAGAATCATGTTGCATTTAGTGATGCTTAATAAGAAAAGATTTCCTTTGGAAGTAGTAGGCCAAACTGAGAAAGAAGGCTTCTTTGGTTGCTGGTTTGAAAAGGTAAAGTTAGGCCTTTCTAATTAGGTTGCTCTTTTGAAAAAGCAAAACTTTGCCTTTCTACTTATTTCTAGGTAGGAAACGGCCAAATTCACTTTGGTTTTGCCATTGCTTACTTGAGTATCTCGGTAAGGAAAAGGTGCCAAGAATCGGGAAATACGATCGCGTCTCTGCTTGATTGACTTCGTTAAATGTCATATTTGTTTATATGCTTGTTAAAATTGCTGCCTTGAAAGGGTTAGGCTAGGGAATTGTGGTCGGTGGTCACTTGGTCTCCTTATAAATGCCAGTACGTGTGAAATTACATTTTTTCTGGAGATTTTAAACTGGTTTGCGATTGAGGCATAGTAATGATGTGTAACTTATAAGTTAGAGTATGTCCTAAACATTTCAGAAACCTAACAACATATTGTGGTATAACGTGGAGATGTAATGATGTGTAATGTGGCAATATTATTGTTTTGTGTTCTATGGCCTTTATATTGTGCAGACCACAGATAACCCCTTTTTTCTCCGTGAAACAACTAATGATAGCATTGCCTGCCTTATTAGCAGATGGGCAATCTTTATACTTCATTGAATTCCCTAGCGGTGTCGATGAACATCTATACAGTAGTAAAATATTTCATTCAGTGTTATTCTTCCGTGAAGAAAAAGTAAAAAAAGGGCAGCCCAGTGCACTAAGCTTGCGCTATGCGTGGGGTCTGGGGAAGGGCCAACCACAAGGGTCTATTGTATGGCGTCTTACCCTGTATTTCTGCAAGAAGCTGTTTCCACGGTTCGAACCCATGATGGTCACATGGCAGCTACTTTACCTGTTAACTTCAAGGAAAAGTGAATATGATAAAGTGGAATTTTTTTTTTATCGATGAGGCATAGTTGGTTGATTGATTGTGTAAGTTTACTTTCTTGTCTCCAAAAGTTTGAATGTTGCAGGGTTGTTTTCCTTTTTCAGCGCGTCACTTAGGAACTCCAATCTTTTTTAAAGATGAAAATTCCGATGGAGGTGCACTTGGATGGTGTTTATGAATTTTTTATTTTATTTTATTTTGAATTTAGAAAAATCTTTTGTTGGAAATGTGTATATGACTAGTTTTTTCTTGTTCAAACTTATTTAAAAAATAATTATGTTTGTACTACATGTTTGATTAGATGTTTCTGGTTTAAGTCTCGACATATTATTTGTTTCACCTTCACCATATAAGCATTACAGTAATATGACGAACATGTGCAGTAGAACTATTTATTTGGGCCATAGCAGTATAAAAAGGTAAAAAAGGAAAAGTAAATTATAATTTTTCGCTTTGAAAAGAATAGCATAAGAGGAAGGTTGAAAATCTGGAAAATGATAACAGGGAGAAAGAACATTTGAAAATTAATAAGAAAAGATATAATAAATCAAAAAGAAAAAAAAAAGAACTCTTATTGGCTAACTGGAATAAGTTTGGAAAAAGGTTTCTTGTATTATTCAGGAAAACATTTCTTTGGGAAAAGTAATTTGTTTTGTTAACAAACAGATGTCTTTTTTGCTTTTAAACCTTTTCCAGAAAAATTTCTTGGGCCAAGCACCAGTTGTAGTGCAGCTTATTGAATTAGAACTTACATATTTGTTAGTTTAAGCTAGTGGACCCATTTTACAGTTAGCTACATTTTGATTTATTTTGATTTTGGGAAGTGTCTAAAGTTGGTCAATTTTACCTTTTTATGCTTTTATGTATAAGGCGCATGTTCCATTTCGAGAAAGTTGACATTACTTTGAAGTTTGAAGAACCAAATTAGAAACGAAAACTCAATTTGAAGTGAAAGGAGTATACACTTGGTTATTTGTGAAAAAGCTAACTAGTAAAATTTAAAGCAGTTGGCAATAGATGTTTGGAGTTTTGAACTTCCCAGCTGATTAATATGTTTGAACATGTTAAAGGAGTCAGTAAATAGAAGAAATCAACCATGTGTTAATGATTTTTTAATCAGCCATGCATTGATGATTTTTTCTTTTAAACTGCATCTACTCTAGATTAAATACTTTTATTTTATTTTTTGAGTATCAATATTAACCACTCTCCTAAACTACAGTTTAACAACATATGAATCCTCCCAGATCATATGACCTAGATCAGTTTATGATGGTTGACTTCATTCGGTTTTGCGTTGGAAAATGTTTGATTTATCTTTAAATAGAAATTGTAAATTTAAAAGATCTGAGGAAAACACTACTGGTAAAAACTTTTGAAAAGATAATTAGAGAAGACTACGTTGAAGAAGGCTGACGTTGACTACCTAGATATTAAATAGGTTAAACAACATGGGAAGACTTGTTAATAAATCCCACAGTAGCTGTGAATGTCTTACCTTTCTAATCCACAAGAACCAGAAAGTATTCAGTGGTTCCCACCTGTTCACTCGCTTAACATAAACAATCTTTGTAATGAAATACTGATGTAATATACTGCTAAGTTAAAATGAGAAATTTTGGATTTGGAATTGACACATATTTTCTATGCAAAACATTTTGTCAAATTAAGCAATAATAATGTCACTCATCTCTTTGATACAGGTAATTTTATAATGGGCTGATAATTTAACATTAATGTATGTTATGTTTACTTTAGAAAATTTATTAGTAGTCACGGTTAACATGAATCTCCCACTTCACTGAGAGTTTCTTGATAAATTTTTCCTTGATTTGAAACTTTATGAACCTTGCCTGAACTGGATAACATTGAGATGGTTGTTTATTTAGTTTGTTTCCTTTTCCTCTTTTTGGCTTTTGTTTCAATTGCTTTCTTGGGAATTGTGGTTATAAACCTATTATCCATTTACATTGAGTACTTTCCACTTGTTTGACATGTAATTCTACACTTATTTTGCAGATGGGCCAGTTAAAAGGAGACCCTCAAACTAATTCTGCATATATAATCAAGGTATTTCTGAACTTGGTGCTCCTGCTATATGTTATCACTCTTATCTCTAATTGTGGTGTATTGTATTTTATTGCTAGTACTTACAAAGGTAATGCGTTATGTCTTGGGATTTAAATGCATGTAGTAGCTTTGTTAGCAATTCATAGTTGACTAGTGTTTTTCTATATTCCAGGTTGAACTATTAGCTGCTAAAAATCTCATTGCTGCTAATTTGAATGGGACGTCAGATCCATACGTAATCATCACTTGTGGCACACAAAAAAGATTTAGGTGATTGTATATATTTTTGTTATCCTGTTATCTTGGAGGGTCAGTTATTTAGGTGATGTTTCCTAGTTATATCTATACTTCCTTTTATTGCTGTGATTGCAACCAAGTTGCATTATTGAAGAGGAAGCATGATGATTTTCTTTTGCGAGTATATATCTGCAAATTGAATGTCAATATATGACAGAAACATGAGAGATTAGTTGACTCGGTCCCTTCTGATTGCTATTAAAATTTATTTAAACAAGCATTTCATTTGACTTGACGATCAATTTGAAAACATTGTTACATCTTAGTCCTTTCCTTTCGTTGAAAGTTCGTTCTAGTTCTACTTCTAGCTGGTAAGACAATCTTCCTCGGTTTTCATCATCTTTCAGATTTTCTAGATAAAATGATGACTATGGCAATATTGCAGAAATGAGATAAAGTAGTGTTTCACTTCAGGTACAAAAAATAAAAATTGGAGTGACAGTTTTAAAGTCAATCACAGCTTCTCTGGTCAGCTGCGGGCATATATTCTTTTCTCATTAAGTTGGTTTGTTGACGATGCGTACATCTAAGATTTGTCCTAAGTTCATCTTTCGGAAGGGGGGGGGGAGGGGGGAGGGAGAGAGAGAGACATAGATGGTTATGCTCACAAGGCTTGAGATATATGCGTGTGCGCTCACGTATTCTTGGGGTAACGAGGAATGGATTTACAAAAGTTGGAGCAGTTCTTTTATGAAAGCATATACTCAGCATGTGTTATTGCATCTGTTAAACATATTTCAAGTACTACTTTTATACCTGTTGTAGTTCAATGATCCCTGGTTCAAGAAATCCTATGTGGGGGGAGGAGTTCAACTTTTCAGTTGATGAGCTTCCAGCAGAGGTAAGCTATTCAACACATCTTATCAATTGAAGTACAAGTGCAATGCTGTGTTTTTGTAATACTCTTCGGATATACTGCTATTATTTCTATTTGTTACATTAAGTTGAGGCTACATGCGCATGGTGATCTTGGTCATTTTCTTTACAATAATTCTTTTACTTGATTGTGCGGCAGATAAATGTAACAATATATGATTGGGATATAATTTGGAAAAGTGCTGTTCTTGGTTCGGTGACTGTACCTGTTGAAAATGAAGGTCAGACAGGTGCTGTATGGTATACATTGGATAGCACGTCAGGGCAGGTATCTATTGATTGTTTCATCTTTTTTCCCTTCTTTTTAGAATAATGCATCATAGTTTTGATTGATGTTGTGGAGGTTCTATCCCAATGAAACTGAATCATGCCCGTTTCTTTTACAGGTTTGTCTTCACATTAAAACAGTAAAACTCAATATCAATTCTTCAAGGTAGGGCTCTGCTCCCTTCTTTTTTTGGGGCCGTATGTTTCTTCCTGTTTGGATTTCAACCATTCTGTGTGGGGATAATGCTATTTACTAAAATGCTTAATCTGATAATGCTCATTTTAGCTTATTAGGGTCCCTTCTTTTGGTTCATGCTAGCACTCTTTGCTTCTCAAATGCACATACTATTTCAAAAGATGAGTTGAAGTTGGGATTTATGTGCAATAAGGAATTTTGTGATTGGATTTCTTACAAAGATGTTTCTGTGTAATGATAAAAAGTAGTTAAATGAATCTCATCTTCCCCTTTCCTCTTAAAGTCTCCTCACTGTGCGGAATGCTGCAAATGATGCTGCAAATGATGCTGCAATGAAGTTTTTGATGAGTTACCCTGGAAGGAATGTTGGGTATGATCCTGGTTTGGTAGGGGCTACTGCAAGGGATGTTGTGACGTTTGCATCTGATCGGAAATTCATAATGGTTTTGAACTTAATCGACATGATTTATACTTCAAATATTTCACTTATTTGTAGTCTGTTTTCCATTCCTTTGTTTGTAAAAATATTTTTTTTTTCACATCTTATTCATTGACCTAGAAAAAGCATATGATATAGTACCTAGAGAGGTCCTTTGGTGGCTATTAGGGAAGAAAGTAAATCATATTGAATATATATGCGACAAAGGACATGCATGAAGGAGTCGTCACTAGCGTGAGAACAATAGTAGGAGAAACACAGGAGTTTCCCGTAACCATAGGTGTACATTAGGGATCGAGATTGAGCTCATACATGTTTACCCTTGTTATAAATGAGCTATCCAACACAATACAAGATGAGGTCCCATGGTGTATACTATTTGCTGGTAATATTGTGCTAATTGACGAAACCGACGAGAGTGTCAACCAAAAGCTTGGCCTATGGAGAAGCACTCTAGAGAATAAGAGTTTTAGGATGAGTAGAAGTAAAACTAATTCTATGCACTGTAAGCATAGATAGCATAATAAGAGCGAAAATGAGGTGAGATTGGATGGGATTGCAGTGCCTAAATGCAAGCAATTCAGATATCTAGGCTCGTTGTTATAAGAAAATGAATTCATAGATGACGATGTTACACAGATTTAATTCAAATGGTTGAAATGGAGGAGTGTTACCAGGGTACTATGTGATAGAAGGATGCCTACCAAAAAGAAAGGTAAGTTTTATGGAACAATTATAAGACCAACAATGTGTAATGAGAGTTAATATTGGGCTACTAAGGTCCAATACATCCAGAAGATGAGTGTCACAGACATGCGGATGCGAAGATGGATGTGCGAATACAAGACAAGACAAAATTAGAAATGATCACATTCATGAGAAGATCCAAGTAGTACATTATTGAGGATAAGATCAGAGAAGGTTGCTTAAGATGGTAATGGTCATGTCCTGCGGCCAGTGGCGGAGGCAGGATCTCCACGAAGGGGATTCAAATTTTTTTTTTGTAGATAGTTGGAATTGAACCCATGACCTTATGTAGATTTTGAACCCCCTTGACTAGGGCTGTGCACGGATCGGATTGGATCGGATTTAGCATATTTCGGATTCAGATTTCGGATTTCGGATTTCGGATTCTGAAAAGGGCAATCCGAATCCGATCCGAATTAACATTGGATTGGATCGGATTTTAAACTTTGGATCGGATAATTTTTCGGATTGTCGGATCAGATTGTCACAAAAATTTTCAACAATTTAAAGTTCATTCGGTGTCTCTATCTCATCTTCCATCTACCAAAACAAACAAAAAAATCAAAATAAAATCAAAAGTTGAAGAATAGAACATGAAATAGACATAAAAGACAGAAGAGAAGAGAAGAGAGGCGGAAGAAAGAGACATAAAATCAAAGTAAAATCGGAAGTTTGAGTCATTGAGACTCTTTTAGTCTTCACTGAAGAGAAGAGAGGTGCAAGAGAGGCGAAAAAATCTAAGTGAGTGAGGGGGTGTGTGAAAAATGAATAAGCATAACCCTTAAATTTTAGTGTGTATTTATATAGGTACATATAATTTCGGATATCGGATCGGATCGGATTAAAATTATACCAATCCGAATCCAATCCGAAAATCCGAAATTTCATAAAACACAATCCGTATCCAATCCGAAAATCCGAAATTTGAATCCGAAAATCCGAAATAGAATGGATCGGATCGGATTTCGGATATCCGATCCAAATGCACAGCCCTACCCTTGACTACTAAACTACACTTTTGGATTGTGTTAAGAGTGTTCAAAACTTAATATATAGAGATAAAAAACAGATTGTGCCTTATATATACAGTGTAATTTTTCGGCGAAGGGTGTTCGGGTGAACACCCTTGCGCCCCCCTAAATCCGCCCCTGCCTGCGGCGACCACTAGATGCACCATGGTGAGACTAGGTAGTAAAAGGAGTCGAACTAGACCTAAGATCACTTGGAAGGAAGTTGTTTCGAAGGACCTACAGTCTCTTGGGATCCATGCAGATTTGGCAAAAGATAGGACAAAGTGAAAGAAAAAAAACTTTATCGGTGATACTTACTAGTTGAGAATATATTTTAGTCGTGTTAGCACTTTTACTTTACGTCCTGCTTTTCTAGGAGTTGTTTAGTCTTTCAAAGATTTATACGTCAGTAGAAACTATTAATAAACTCTAATACTTTCTTTTTATTTTGTTACTCCTTATGTTCCAATTTATATAGGCAACAGTTCCTTTTTAATCTGGTAAAAAAAGAATACAACTACAACAACAACATACCCAGTATAATCCCACAGGTGGGGTCTGGGGAGGGTAGGGTTTACGCATACCTTACCCTACCTGGAGAGCTAGAGAAGCTGTTTCCGATAGACCCTCGGCTCAAGAAAAGGTGGGAAGGAAGAAAAGGGAAGATGAAGAAGAAGAAAGAGGGAGAAGAAGGAAAGAAGAGGGATACAACAGACAATAAGGAAAAAGGGAGAAAAAGTAGGCATCAAATAGTAACCGGTAAAAAAAGAATAACTTTTTAAATTTGGAAGCAATTTAACTTGAACTTTCCATTTACCCTTAATGAGACTCTTTTATAGCCACACAAATATCTATGATTTGTGACCACAAGTTTAAAAATCTTCCTTTCTTTCTTAAACACCGTGCCAAGTCAAACTTCGCCAAATAAATTAGAACGGAGGGTGTACTTTTTTTATTTTACATATTAGTAGCCTAAGATGAGTCTAAATGGACATGGTCATCGAGGATTGATATAGCCATCCTAACTTGCTCGGCACTGAGGTTTAGTGGTTATATTACATATGCATTTGTTTTACTTTTTGTTCAGTTGCGTCTTTCACTAAAACCTTCGCTCTGATTGTACTTGAAGTCCAAAACCTTGGTGTTTAATACTGATTTAAATGTGGCTTTGTGTCCTGCTAAAGTCCTCACAAATGTATTAATGAATTAGGTTCAGGTTGTGAAATTCTAAATGTCTTCTAAAATGACTTGAATGTTTCTAGGAGGATTCTTTCAGTTCCCTAAGTTCTGTTCTGGAGAGCTTGTATGGTTGTTAAGCATTCAACATTATTTGTCAGTAGAGCACAGTTCTTAGAACGTAGCTTATATAGCCGTTAAAGTGGTTAGACAGTACTTTCCCTTTTGTGGAACTCCTCTTTTAATAGTTCCTTTTGATAAGTGACTCTTTATATTCTCTATTTCACTTGTTGGCGAGTGGGTAATAAGATGTAATCTTCTGTTTTTTTGTTGCAATCTTTAGTAATGCTTTTCTAATTTACATTTACAAATAAAATAAGTGAATAGCACTTTGAACAAAACTTGAACAAAACTTGCTTTCAATGGAGAGTTGCAGGAGACCTATTTAGGATTAGTTATTCTTTCTATTGCTGGAATATTATTTGATTCATCAGAAAAATTATTGATGACAAATCATTATAGTTCTGTCATATCTATCTCACCAAAAAATAATTTTTCTGGGAGCTGGTGGATAATGTTCTTTCCCTCTTGTTTTCTTTCTGGTTTCCTAGGGGTTTGAATGGTTGTGATAATACTCGTAGAAGGATTGCTTTGGATAAAGAAGGACCTACTGTTGTTCATCAGAAACCTGGTCCTTTGCAAACAATTTTTGGTCTCCCTGCTGATGAGGCAAGTGCGCATTTGTGTTTGTATAGATGTCTCTTGGTTTTGAAAGGACACTAAGTTGGAAAATTGGACTATTCAGCTTGATTGCTAAACGAACCACTACATACAGGTTGTTGAACATAGTTACTCTTGTGCACTTGAGAGGTCATTTTTGTATCATGGACGTATGTATGTCTCTTCCTGGCACATTTGCTTCCACTCAAATGTGTTCTCAAAGCAGATGAAGGTCAGTTCCACCTTAAATTTCTCCGCCCTAAATTGGAAGTTGGAACCTTATGGATCTTCTCTCTGAACTTTCTCGAGCATTTGTTGCATACAATCAGGGAATTAGTTACAACTCTTTTTAGTGTGACCTTACTGGTGGATATTGTGAACCTTGGAGAGTTTTATTCAAAAATTTGTTGGAATTTTTCTTGATTGATAAAAAGAATATTGAATCCGGCTGAAGACATTTCTTTTCTAATTTCCCTCGTAGACGTGGTTCTATATCCTAATGTTTCTCTTTCTAACCCTGAATGTAACTGGTCATGACCGTATTTTCTCCCCACATTTTTATATGTAGTTAATTCATCTCAAGAATGCTGAAACTTGTGTATACTGGGCTGCTTATTTAACCATGCTTAAATTTCTGTTTTCACAGGTAGTTATTCCGTTAGGAGATATTGATGAGGTATGATATTATCTGTGTGTGTTGTCAGGATTTTGTCATTTCCAAGTTTTCACAGTGCTTGGGATGGTTGTCTGGGCAATATTTTGAAAATTGATGGTAGTGTTATTTTGCTTTTAGATAAGGAGGAGCCAGCACGCATTCATTAACCCTGCTATTACAATAATTCTACGTACAGGTGCTGGCGGCCATGGGGTACCTCCTTTAGGAAATCCTGATGGTTAGTAAATCAACCTATTCTTCTAATTCAATCTCATTTATTTTCAATGTTTTTTCTTCATTTAAATGAGCCAGAACGTTGGATAGTGAATGAGCTTTTCCTTTTCTTCTTCATTTATATGGAAGATTCATATAGCCCCATCCAAACAGATTTGGGNCTTCTAATTCAATCTCATTTATTTTCAATGTTTTTTCTTCATTTAAATGAGCCAGAACGTTGGATAGTGAATGAGCTTTTCCTTTTCTTCTTCATTTATATGGAAGATTCATATAGCCCCACCCAAACAGATTTGGGTTTGAGGTGTAGATTGATTGATTGATTGATTTGTTAGGAGAGGTGTATAACTCTTGTAGACTGTTCGTACCAAGTTTTCCACTTGTGAGATGCACGGGAGAAAAATCTATTATTGATTAACAATGATATTGATCCCTATATATAATACATATTCTACTCCTACTATATATGAGACTAGGACATATTCTGCTCCTACTATATGGGACTAGTATTATTTACACATAACTATCTAATACTCACCCTCAAACCGGTACATACAAATCATATGTACCGAGCTTGTTACATAAAGTGATCGGCGCAAGCGATATACAAGGCCACTAGACTCCCTCTGAGCACAAAACCAGGTGGTTGTTGATAATTAGAAGTTGGCCAAAAAGTCGCCGGAGAAATTTGAAAATAGTGAGACTAAGCCAAATTACACACTTCAAAATAGATTTTAAAACACCACCAGAAAACAGAAACTTTTCTTGAAATTACTGTTCACGCCGAAAAAATAAAATTTGTCAGAATTCGATGTAATTTATATGGGTAGGCTCGGAATCACTGGACGAGTTAGTTGTCCTGAAGAAGTTTTGTCAAAAAGTGGATGGAATGACTCACACGCGCCGGAAAAGTTACTGTAGCTCGCTGGCTAATTCCAAAGTTCTTGTAATCTGTTGTAGGAAATTGTACTGGTATACTCAGAGCCACCCCACGAAACAACTGTCCTAAAGAAATTTTTGAAAATTCTAGTTGGAAAGTGTTGCACGCGCTGGAGCCTGTGTCAGACACGCTCTTTGGAAACCTAGTTCTGGTGGCGCGTGGAGGCGCTTGAGGGACTTTCTGTCGGAGCGATTGACTAGGGTTTTGTCGCTAGACTTTTCAGAACAAGATGGTAGTGTTGGTTTTCGCACAACACTTACCGATAAGGAGATAACGCAAACCAATCTTGAGTCGTTAACCGGAAAGACGCACGGTGATTGACTTTTCTGTTCCTATTGGACTGAGATTTCTTTGGTCGCACAAGAGTTTAAGATCTGATAGTGGTACTGGTATATGCACAGTATCACTGTAGCAGTGATGAATCCTAGGAACAAGACGAAGTTACCGCAAAATTGCACGACGACGAGATCTTCCTTCCCGGATGTCGCTGGAATGACGCACAACGTAATTTTTTCACTGAAGCTCTAATACCATGTAAGAATGCACAGGAGAAAAATCTATTATTGATTAACAACGATACAATGAGCCCTATATATAATACATATTCTACTCCTACTACATATGGGACTATGACATATTCTACTCCTACTACATGTGGGACTAGGATTATGTACACATACCTATCTAACACTACCTACCAAGTTGCATATACCTTTCTCCTTGGCTGGATCAAATAGTATCTACTTTTATGAAAAATAAATTTTTGAAATACCATGTATTATATAACCCAACAATTACTCAGGACCTAGTTCTAAACTTCTCAATGCAACAGTTTCCTATTTCTGCTACTTAAAACTCTAAAGCTATTTGGACTTAAAAAAAAAGAACTTTAAAAGCTGTTGGCCCCACATGTTCTTCTAGTTAACAACAAACTACAAAATATGCACAATAATCTCCGCTACAAATACTCTTGCAAGTGACTACGGGATTCAAATTGAAAAGAAGAGAGGTTTTTTGTGTTACTCATGTTAGAGGGTGAGTTATATTGACATTCTGGATTGTTAATATCTATTTGCTAATCACATACCTTTTCAACTTCCAGGGAGGGTACGATATATGTTTGCGTCTTTTTGGAATAGGAATCATGCAATTAGAGCCTTGCAACGGTCAGCAACAGACTACCACGCCATGCTAGAAGCAGAGAAAAAGGTTTTTCTGTGCTTTTAATTAGTCTTTTTTCTGATTATCTGATACAATAAGCAGTTATACATCTTTAGTGAAGGTTACTTGCTTGTACAACATCCTGGAAATCAAATTGCCTGCTTCACTGTGTTTTCTTCTCTCTTTTTTTTTTTTGGGTTGATGAAGATTTATTGATGAGATTGGGAAATCCCACATACAAGGTGTATTTAAAAGTAGAGAATCTAAAAGAAAGGCATGATTATTTTCAAACAACATCAACACTAACACTATATCACTAAGTGCTCCATTAATACGGAAAATTTCCAATTATCTGTACAAACAAGTTCTCTATCCCTTCAAATGCTCTCCTATTTCTCTCGGCATATTATCCACATGAGCGCCGGAGGAGCTCTTTGCTCTCATCCTCCTCTCTCTTCTAATTTTAATCCTAGAAGCATCTCTACTACAGTCTATAGTATCACCCATTCTGCTCCAAATCATGCTCCAGACCATACAACATAATCTGTATGTAATAGGACAGAGAATTAGTTAGTGATTGACATCCTCTGCCGCTTGCTTCACTGTGTTACATTGGAAATATTTCCTACCTAAACTAAATGTACCAAAATGTTCATGTAGCCTATAGGGTAGGTATCATGTAAGATACAAGTTCTAATGTATTAGCATAGGAGACATCAAGTATAGGTTTTTCTTCTATTTGTCTTATTTCTTGTTGATGCAAGACTTCCGCCAGCGTAGTTAATATCTCTATTTGTGCTCAAGGTAGGAAGTAGTCTTTGGACAGCAGTATGATTACTATTTTCATGGATCTCATGAAGAGCTGTAGTGTGGTAGGAAGCCGTTTAGGCTGATTAACACAGAGGCATGTGGATGTACATTCCAAGCACGAGAATAGTTAAAGAATTTAAAGAGAGAACAAAAAAAAATAAAGGACTAGATTACTGGAATACATGTGTTGAGTTGTGATGGACCGTGTTTTATTTGCTTGTGTTAAAACATTTATAATGATTTGGCCGCCTGGTAGCGCAGAAGAATGACATTAGAAACCTTGCTTACAATCAAATAGACCCTTGTTCCAAGGGAAAAGGGCATTTCATGGGTGAGTTTATCTAGATCAAGTGTATAGCTATGATCCTAGACAATAATGTTAACATTTTGAGTAGGGGACATGGGCGATTTCAGGGAAAAAACAACTTCATCTCTAGTCTCTCTTTCATGTTGAGACTTTACTTTTAGTGTAGCTTTTTGTCATGCAGATATTGGGTTTTGTAGGAAGGATTATGGCTTCTAAACCAAGGCAAACATCTCTTAAGTACCATTTACGAGTGTCTTCAAGGTGAATGCAGCGGGTAACTGTAAGGAATGTCCCAATCAACTATTAAGTGCTTCAGAAAACGTGTGATTCATGCGGAGGGTTTACTTTGCCTGTTAATTGTTGCCTGCCTAAATATCTTTAGTACAAAAAAAATGAAGCTCATGTTTCAATTTTTTTTAAACATCTTATCAACTTGTTGTCCAAGCAGAAGAGAAAGCAATACACTCTTGATTTGGAGACTGCAAAAAATTGCTATGTCATTTATATAGCAATTTGTTATTGTCGCTGAATACTTCTGATCTCAGATAATGGTTCTTATGTAATGATTCTCTTTTTCGCTGTGAGCTTGTTGAAGCAACATCATGTGCAGAGATGTTTTTAATCTCAGCAGTTTTTAATTTTCTCATAAATCTGTATGCTAGGAATTTGTAATTACTTAGATGTGTTTTGGTCTTGACAGTTGTTCCCCAGAATCTCCTTCCTCTACCTGTTACCATTTATCTTTTTGGTTGTGACAATCCCAAATTTTCTATCTGTTTTCTTTTAGGAGAGGGAACAGTCAGCACTACGTGCACATAGCAGCTCGGTTAAAGGAAGTAAAAAGATGGATATGAGTCGGAAAGAAAATGTGTCGAAGACTGAGAAATCTCAGCCTTTTATTAAAGAAGAAGTCCTTTCTGGTATATACAATGTATGTATGAGACCTAAGCTCTTATCTTTTAGCAACTAGAATCTCTTGATACATGATACATGATTTTATTAAAAATTTTCAGGACATTTTCCCATGCACACCTCAGCAGGTTTTTGACTTACTACTGGCTGATGGTTCAAATTATACTAATGAGTATCGTACAGCACNCATTGAGTATCGTACAGCACGTAAAGATTCTAATATCAATGTAAGTTCAACCTTCCATATGCATATAGATAGAACCCGTTTGTGAATTATACATTTCGGAGCATAAGTTCTACAGTTTTTGTCTTTTTGTGGGTAAAGGGGGATGTTTTAGTAGAATTAGATGTCAAAATGATTTCTAGCTCAACTAAAATGCATCTTTTGGGTCATGGCCCAGTCAAAAGTAAAAAAAGGTTGGTAATAGCTGAGTTCCAAGAGGCAATTAGCAAGTAAGAAAACACGAAGAACCTCTGATTTGGTTATCAGGTTGCAGTGCTTGTGCTTCTAGTGCAGTTTCTTATTAATCTCTATCTGTTTATTGAAAAGCAAGTACCCAGAAAAAGTGAACTTGGTGAAATATATTTGCTCCATAGCTTGAATGTGATGGTATGTTGTGTATACATCTAAATCTGCATGAAGTCTACTCAGTGCGGATATGCCCAGGCCTGTGAGAAAGGGCTGAAGAAGGGCAACTGTTTTTAAAGTCTGATGAATTAGAGCAGTTACTGGCATTATCATATCTAAGCACTATTCCTGCACTTAAAGGATTTTAAGATCAACAAGGAATAAATTCTTATATTATACTGTTACTAAACAGCTCTAAATCACCCAAAATATGAGTGGACAATTTAGCAAACTAAATTTAGCTTTATTCACTCTTTCTGCATACTACAGGAAAGAAAGTTTAATATGAGTTACTTCTGGATGGAACAGAAAGAAGCAAGCTTTCAGAATGATGAAAACTCCTGCTCAAGTGTAGTTGATGTGTTCCTTGTGGACTAGACCTCTGTGTTCCTTTGTCTGTTAAATTCTACTGGCCACTGCTGATATTCATCCATTAAATTAGTTTTGAAGCACCATAACGTCATACTACGAGAAGAAAAGGAACTAAATAAAATATTTGACCCGTCATAGATGTATTTTGTTTATCTTGATGGAGCAAATTAGTCATCGTCTCAGGCATAAGTGTTTTTTCCTGCGATGCTGTTAACAAAATTTAAATTATCTTTGCGAGGAGACATTACTTTGTGTTTCAGTTGGTCCTGTCTTGAGATACAATTACCGAAAATAGAAATTGCTTTACCTCTGTGGCCTTAATGGTGGCTAAACTTTCGAATGTCTTTATCTTCTTAGATCGGTCAATGGCATTCTGCTGATGAGTATGACGGTCAAGTCAGAGAGATTACATTCAGAACCATATGCAACAGTCCCATGTGCCCCCCAGATTCAGCAATGACGGAATACCAGCATGCCGTTTTGTCACCAGATAAGAACATGCTGGTATTTCTCATCATTTCGTGCCACAACTATTTACTGGTTGCTTTTATGCTTTGATCATTTGTCTTATTAGTTTTAATTTACCATTTTCCTTTCCTCTAGGTTTTTGAGACTGTACAACAGGCACATGATGTCCCATTTGGATCATGCTTTGAGGTGCTGTTGCGTTTGGTCATCAGACCATATTCTTTTCCAGTATTCGTGGTTTCAATTCCATGGAAGTCCTTGTAGATAATAACCCCACTTTTGCTTTGTTCCATGGCTTATCCGCTAAGGATTGTCCCATATTTATCTTTCTTATACTGATTAGATTTGATATTGAATCAGGTCCACTGTAGGTGGTCT